CCCCCCTTCAGCAGAAAAAAAAAAAAACTGAAGTATTAGATGCTTTTTTTATCGTTTTCCGTTGTGTTGAAGGAAGAAACTCAATTAGCCCCCCCCCCCCTAACATTTTGGCTGGATCCGCCCTTGAACTGGTCCATAATCATAAGTGAATACATTAGACATTAGAGAAACTTTGATCGCGGGGCGTAGGGTGAATTCATAAATACTTAATTAAATTGCGTATAAGGAGCTTTTTTGATGATGATGTGATCTAAAATGAAGTAGCAAGACAAGGCACGTTTTGGAAAAAAAATTTTAAAAACAAGTTATCTGTCAAGTTATTGTAATGGTTGACATTTTTGTTAGATACCCACATGGAAAAACGAAAACAGGGAAAGCCATTACCTATACAGAAGAAGTCCTCTTCTCTAAAACTTCCACCTCGACTACAAGAAAAAAGGAACTTGTTGTCATAACAGACGGCAAATCTACTGACAATGTTCAGCGCCCTGCCGAACACTTAAAACAGAAAGGTGTCGAGGTAATGTCGGTTGGTGTTGGCCATTCCTATGACAAACACCAGCTGGAAGAAATCTCCACTTCAACTGAAGAGGTCTTTGAGGTTGAGTTTAGTGGTCTTCAACAAATAATAAGCAAAATGTTGAGTCATGCTTGTCAGCCAGGTATGTTACCGTAGGTGCCATTATATCTGTGTTGTAATTGTACGAAAAGACGTCATTTTCTGTCCGTTTTGGAACCATGAAGCGAATTGTCATGATAGCGTCTGCCTGTTTTGTAGCTGTAAATGTTTAACCGACTGTGAAAGAGATCAGCGTCTGCCTGTTTTGTAGCTGTAAATGTTTAACCGACTGTGAAAGAGATCACTCACTTGCCATCCTTCATAGAAATGAGCGTTAAGATCACACGAGGACAATAGTTTTTACACCGATAGAATTACATTTGATTCATATGACGTGACGAGCCGTATTTGCCCGCCATTAGAATGCCATGATTGGACGAGCAGACGTTGCCTGGTTAAATTAGTTTCCTGTGTTTGATACCATCACCAGTGGATGAACAGTGTTTGCCCCGCCTCTGATTGATATAGCATGACAAAAGTTTGCAATTCATGAATGCATTTTATCGTTAACGCGTGAGGAGGAGTGGTTGACCACCAATTGAGTGCTTTTTGACTGATATCACGTGACAAGCAGTATTCGACGCCAAGAGAATGCCATTTGAGTTATGTGACGTGACGGGCCAGATGATGCCAACTTATTGTAGACAATCAATACGACAGTTGTAATCTTGAAATTCTTTCACCTTATTCATTTACCTAATCCTAATTTTAGGAAGTGACGGAAAATAGTTCTCTTAATTATTGACATACATAGCATTATTAAGTTTATGTTGAAAGTCTTGCCTGCGATAAAATACGTTTAACATCAATTAATCGTTTTTTGATTAATAGTAATTAATTTTATCATTGTTTCATTGTTTTTTTATCAGCAACTACAAAGCCAACTCGTCCACGTAAGTCCAGTTTTGTTAATTTTTATTAATCTTAATAGTCTCATCTATAGTCTAAAGCTTATTGTAGAGGGCCACAGGTTTATTAGCATAGGTATTGCTATTTAGTGCCACCCTCGTTAAATAAAGGATTTATTATTATCAAATAGTAAATGTAGTTTTGGTAGTGAGTGTTAGTGAAGGCAGACCCACATTAGCAAAAGCTGACAGAATAAACAGCCTGCTCTAACAAATAAAATTATTTTTATTATTATGCAGTTTATTAAATATCTGGATGCAATGCAAAGACATTTATAGGGCGCGTAAACGTAACCTATAAGTGTTCAAACTATTTACAATTAGATATGCTCAACAATAAAATATTAACAAATCTTACAATATAAAACATCTATTATTATTATTATTTATTTATTTTTACTATTATTTTTTTTATATTATTTATTTTTTTTATATTATTTATTTTTTTTATATTATTTATTATTATTATTAATAATAATAATACTGAACTAACTTATCTTCTTTATTAATCATGGATCTAACGTTTTCTTTACAGAAAAACCAAGAGCCATCGCTTTTTATCCACTGAACGGTAAAACTCGTGGGCGTGACGTAGGACCAAGACGTAACCCCTCTGGTCGTCCAGTACGTGTCCATCAAGCATCAGGTCCAGATGGCTGGCCACATGGTTCATACGCCTTCCCCGGCCGATCAAACAGCTATATATACTTCCCTAACAATGGTGGCATTGATGCTAGAGAGTCTATTACTATTCTTGGTTGGGTTTATCCTGAGAAAAGCGGTCCAATCTTTCATTACGGACCTCGTCACTGGGGCGTACATGTATGGTTCTTAGCACCTAATATCCTCTTTGCACGATTTTCTCGACGCTCTGGTCGCAAAGTACCTCACATAATGAGCCGTCGCTTGAAACCCAGAAAATGGAGCTACTTTGGTGCCACATATGACCATAAGACTGGGCTGGCAACTCTTTGGATAAACTCACAACCAGTCGCACAACGTAACATCGGTGTGATACGTCTTGCTACCAATTACCCAGCAGTTATGGGCAAAAAATATGGCGACAAGCGATACTTCAAAGGTAGAATCTCTTGTGTCCACGTATTCGATGTTGCGTTGACGGGACCAGAGATTAAAAAACTTACAAGGGTGTGCATCAAAGGTAAGTAGCGAATTTCACAGATTTTAAACCATGTATTATTTTGGGTCTTTAGCCTTCCTAGCTTCTGCACAGTCTTAAAATCGCTCTACTCAAGAACTTGAAATCATAAATGTCTTAAGCAGAAACAGTAACCATAAAAGAGTGGATTAGAAAATGGTCTCGAAAACGTCTGTGAGGCTGCATACTTACACACTGATTATATAACAGAAGTCCACAATCAGTAAACTTCCCGCTAACTTTTTCTTTTTTTATCTGAATTTTAGGAATACCAGTACCTACAAGGCCTCCTCCCAGTACGTATAGCATATTTTTGATGCATATAGTATAGAGTAGTATATGATTTTTATATGTGTTATTTGCATAACTGAGCTTGCTGAATCTGTTCTTTTTGAGAGAATTGTTCGATTTCTTTCTTGAGGCTGCACCATGCTCTGTGACGACATTTTGTTATTATTTTCAAAGCCCCTGATGCCAATTTTTTTAAATTTGTTTTAGAACTTCCTCACATTGTTGCTATCTTCCCGCTGGACAAACTTCATGGCGGAACGGACGTAACAAAGCACAGTCCACCAGGTCGATTAGTCAACACCAGACCAGCACCAGGCCCAGACGGTCGTGTGGATGGCTCCACTCAGTTCTTAGGAGAACCCAGTAGCTACATTGAGATTCCAAACAGAGGAAAGCTTGATGCTAGACGCTCAATGACCATCCTTGCTTGGGTTTATCACGAGGGAAAATCTGGTCCAATCTTTAATTATGATATAGGCGGCTTTGGCGTTCACTTGTGGATGACAAGACCCAGAGTACTTTTCGTTCGATTCGTCCGTCGCGATAAACGATTTACACAATCCATCTCTTCTGACAGAAGACCACTCGCCTACCGCGCTTGGAACTACATTGGTGCAACCTATGATTACAATCGAGGTATCGCAACACTGTGGGTCGGCTCGAGGCCTGTTGCAAGGAGAAAGATTGGAAGGTTTGAACTGGCAACTAATTATCCAATCAGAATTGGTGCTAGAAAAGGAGACAGACGATACTTCCGTGGAAGACTGTTCTGTATTCAAGTGTACAGTGCTGCTCTTAATGAAAGGCAAATACGACATGCGCAAAGACGGTGCTTCAAAGGTAACATATACTTATAATCAGACTTCTTTTGGTTACAACTTTTGGAAAAAAAAAGATTTGATAAATGATGCAATTAAATTTGAATTCATATTTAAAGGTAAAACATCTGTTATATTTAAAAAAATTCGTTAATATTAAAAATTATTTTTCCTATTTTATTGCTTTACAGTAAGACCAACCACACCGACAGCCAGGCCTACAAAACGTAAGCCCTAATTATCATTATCAATGAATATATGATTCTTGGACTCAGAGCAAGAATTATAATAGATTATACGAGATATTTCAACTGTATCGCACAGTCTTCATCAGTCAATTGAGTGTGGATTCCACTCCCTCATTATTATTTTATTATTTGGAATGCGCGCTCAAGAAAGTCGGGAGAAATAGGACAAACCAACAACACAGAACCCAATCAGAACACGAATTGAAATTAAAATTGAAATTTTGAAAAGACTAGGATAATCTTAATTATCGTTTTCCTTTTTTTTATTCTAGGACCAACACCGCGAACTGACGGTAAGAAGTCTCTATGTCGCCTGTATCAAGCTGCTTTGTTCTTTTGGAAATAGAGTGCTTACGATATATCCGTGTAATTAAAAACCTATCCCGGGTTTATAATTCAGCCCCTTTCTGGGTTTTCCAAAGAATTTGAGAACCTACATCAAACAATGGTTTAGGGTGTGGTTGATTTTTTATGTTGGATATCGTATTCCAATAGCTTACGCAATATTTATATGTTTTCATTTTCAGAGTGTACACTTCCTATTGACCTGGGATTCTTAGTCGATGGATCAGGAAGCATCGTACGTCGCGGAAAACAGAACTTTGAACGCCTAATCAATTTCATAAGATCTTTTGTGAGCTTCTTTAAAATCTCAAGTCGTCACACTCGTGTTGGAATGGTCATCTATGGGTCACGGCCGTACAGGATCTTCCGATTGAACCGCTATCGAACAAAACGGTCTGTGTTAAGAGCTATTGGCAGAGTACGCTATCCTGGTGGTGGTACAATGACAGGAAAAGCTTTACGCTCCATCCTTAGGAACCTGTTCAGGGGACGTACACCCAAAACCCGAAAGCGAGTGCTTATTCTTCTGACAGATGGAATCTCACAAGATTCTGTCAAAGGACCTGCGCTTGGTCTTAAGAAAGCTGGAGCCGAAGTGTTCACGATTGCTGTCGGTAAATCCTACCGACGACAGCAACTGAGGCAAATTGCAAGTGATGGAAGTCACATCATTAAAGCTTCGTTTAGCCAGCTGCCAACGCTAATGGTGGGCCTAAAAACCCGCATTTGTATAATTAAACCAAGTAAGTATTGCTTGTTGTCATCTTGATTGAACTTTGCAAAAATAGCTTGTCATAAGTCTCTTGTCATATCAACCAACAAGACTACAATGTATTACCATATTTTTTTTCTTTTTAGCAAATCCATCTCCTCCACCAACGCCTAAACCACCTCCAGCACCTCCCAGTAAGTGAATCCAAAAAATTGAATATCATTGTGGAAGAAGCCCAAAAAATCTTGCACTAACATAATGTTAGCGGAAACCATGACGATACTAAGAGGATGCCCTCCAGAGGGTTAAAATCGCCACGACTTCTCGTTTTCTTCTTCTGTGTTTCTTGTTTATGTTATCAGCCTAAGTTATTTTATTCACTGCGAGCTTCAATTTAATATGGTTTTTATTCCTTTTTTCCCGCACTTAAAAAAATGCCGGGTTTTTATCATCGCTGTCACTATTCTAATCATTACGTTTTGCTATTGTTGAAATATGAAAAAATATCATTACTTTATTCCCAAAACCATTATTGTAACTTATAATTTGATACTTTTTTGTGATGATCCGTAACTGTTTTTCCCTGACTAATTTGCATGCGCGTTTAAGGACGTTCGCGTGCATTGTTCGCACGCAGCCTTTTTACGCTTTCCCACCAGTGTTAATTAAGGTTCTGCACACGTCACTTGCAATTAGACGCGAACCTGGACTAAAAATGAATGAAAAAGCTGAAAGAAAATAGTTAAATAGCGAATCTGATACATTTTGACTAATCTCATGCCACCCTTATAGTTTGCAGACGTCGCGTTGATCTTAGTTTCCTCATCGACGTATCGTCCCAAGTCCGTCGAACAAACATCCGCTACATTAGACAGTTTGTAAAAGTTCTTGTCAAGAGCTTTGTGGTGTCTCCACGACAAACGCGTGTCAGTATCGCTATATATTCATCCCGTACAAAGCGACTTATTAGTCTAACTGGAGCCAGAAGCCGTGCTAGCGTTTTACGGGTATTAAGAAGAATCAGGATCAAGCGCGGACGCAGACAAACCGGAAAAGCCCTCAACTACGCCAAGAGATACCTGTTTACAGGAAAACCCCAGTGTGGTAGAAAGAGGGTCCTTGTTGTTTTGACAAGCGGAGTATCCGTGGACAGGGTCGTACGACCTACCAAATCTTTAGTAAGCATTGGCGTGGAGATCTTTGTCGTTACCACTCAGCGAAGAGGCTTCAGACAGATAATACAAATGGCTACAAGTAGACAGCATATCATCATGACATCATACAGATCTCTCATCAGAGTTGTTGCTCGTGTATCCAAGAAGATATGTGTGTCACCTCGAGGTAAGTAGGCTTGTTTTAATTCATTGTGTGAGTATGTATGTGTCAATAAGTGATGTCATCTATCGAGGCGGATATGTCTTTGAATGTTATCTTTTCGATCAGCAATCAAGTTTAAGTAACTCAGTATTTTACTTTTTCTACATTTTCTTTAAAGTCATCGTAAAGAAAGGAGCTGTTGCATGGTACAAACTGACAAGTGCCACTGGACCACGTGACATCAGTAGAAACAGGAATCCCGCAGCCAAGTTTGTTGGTGTTCGTTATACTTATGGTCCAGATCGCCATCCTAAGGGTGCTCTTTACTTCAAGGGTAGACGAAACAGTTACGTGTTGATCCCCAACTCTGGTTGCTTGGATACCAGATCATCGATCACAATCGTTGGCTGGGTGTACCCTGAGAGCAGTGGACCCATCTTCCATTTCAACCCACG